TCGCAATCTCAGAGTTCACTGTAGACGAACTTCTTAGACTCATCGGCCACCGAAAAAAATAGAAAGAAAAATAAGATAATCGTAATGGTTGTCTTGCCACATAAGAAATTAAAAAATACATACATTTTTTTGAAGATTTCTCCTCTTATAATATGCAAGTAAAGTTAACGTTTAATTCTTTTTTAAATCAATACATTAATTTCTAAATTCGTAAAAGAGGGTAATAAGTATATTAGATTAAATTATATGAAATTCTTATTCGAAAAAAATTCTTATAAATATATTAAATTGCAATTTTGCTTCAAAATAGACTTATTTAGGTAAAAATCGGGACCGATCATTGACGGCAGTTGCAATTAAAGATGGCGGAATATAAATCAAATTGACCAAACTCAATAATTTTTATTATTATTTCAGATGTGGTTGAATATAACACTGTTCGACTAAAGATTGACGCAAATACATTTTACTGATGGTCAGTCATTTTAAGGTAAGATTGAACGGGTTTTTGTTTTACGTAATTAATTAAAAGTTGATGCACCGAAGAACTTACATGTATACATACATGCGGTGCATTACATTTGCGTGCAATACCATTACATTTGCGCGCAGCTTTTGTTTACATTTTATCTGTGTTACCTGTAAATAGAATGCGTGCAAATGTAATCAAAAACTGCACGCACACGTACATTTGTTTAATCCCCAAATACGCGCAACTGTAATGTGCCCTCTACATGTATTAAAAATTTAAAGTTGTTCTTGTCATATACATGACACGAGAGTTATCTCATTGGCACTCATACCACATCATCTTATATCTATGCATGAAATATTTGCCACTAAACTTTAAACAAACAACAATCAATCAGTCAAAAAATCATTGGAATGTCCAGTGGCAAATACTTCAAGCATGTTCAGGACGATCATACTAAATCATAGCAGGAATATTGATTCTGAATCAGAATGGAATTATAAACTCGGAACGGTATTACCAAACGCGGTGTAAATGTCATGGATGATCTATAAAGTCTCTATGAGTGGGTTCAATGTTCCTTTTGGTAATCCATTATTTTTCACACCGGAAGCATGTGTATTGATGAACATTTTCTTCACTTTTTACAGAGGATGACCTTGAGGTCATTCCGATGTATTGCTATCGCCTAAATTTCCATTATGCAAATTAGTTTTGGGATTTCAACCGATCTATAAAAATCATAGATCCGCGGTCATGACAAGGGAAAAAAGTGCATTTTTATACCTGCGATTCCGTTCTCCGTTCGTACGATGTTTCATCAAAAAATGGAATCATTTCAGTTGTTGATTTAGTACTGAAAATTTGACTGAATTATCTCCTTATTAAATACGGTTTTATATGTTTAATAGGTGTTTAAGAAAGAGGTCAGGTGCTCATGTTCATTCATAAAATTATCGTTCATTCATGAATTTATCGTAAAATCAAAATCACTACACAGGTCACACAGGTTGTATACGTAGTGTCAAAAAGTTACCTGTATAGTATATAAAAATAGACAAACTTAACTGAATCCCCTTACTGTAGTGTGTGATAACATTTTGTGAGGGAATTCGATGTTTGCTTTACCACTGTTCATTTCAACGCACTTTATGACGATACCACTTTATCAATATGAATGAAATTTTTTGCAGTGTTTTAAGAAATAATTTTACTTTAAAATCGCGTATCATTTGTGAACTATTAAATGTTTTACAAGGACGAATTTTCTGTATAAAATCAATAATTGTGTGAACTTTTGAAGCCCAAACTTTTTATAGCCTTAAATACGCTAATGAAAGATCCGAAAACTATACCCATACAGAACGACATGTTTTTGAAATTGTAGCAAAACTTTTGGTTGACAAATTTTAATTCGTTATTGCATAAATATTAACTTGAAATATCTGTCATTTTCTCCCTACCCAGTTTACCTCTATTACTCATTATGATGTGGACTTGACATTGTTATTGAATCTTATGCAATTTGATTGGATTAAGTTATTATTAGATTACCTTCAAACTGTTCATGCTTTTTCGTACGAGTATATTGATTAAATCAGAGCGTGCATGAATGTGTACAGAAAATTAAATGACCTGCAAACTGGACACTGGACCAGTCCATATTACGTTTTATCAATGAATAGATTTTTTTTTTATTTCCCAAATTACAGGGCCCATAAAGGGCATACAATCAGATACAATTGATTTACATAATTGGTAACAACAACAATAATAGCGGCATATAAATAGATATTTAGTATATAAGCATTGGTCAGAATCAGATGAACGAAACTTAAGGTATGAAAGGTAACAATTGCCACTTTTTATCTTTTCACATAATTTTCCACATACACATTAGATAAATTATTTTTGATAGCCTATTGCGGAGAAAAAAGAGAAAGTTTACTGTTAACGTTCTATTCCATTAAATACGCCATTTTTCGAAGATAAATGCAGAAAAACATTTATGAACGGCTACGCCAGGTAAAATTGTTGTTTATCCTAAAAAAAAATACAATTTTCAGTTTCATTAGAATATTATAATAATAATAAATCCCAAATTTATGTAGTCATTAGATAAAGTCCTTATATGTCCGATCTGCCTATTTTTGGACATCAAAAGACAATACGATCGTTTTAAGGTCAATTTCGTCTACCTCACACAATCTTGTTAGGCACTATAATGAAATGGACCTGAAATTTATTTCACATGTTTCCTGAAAATTGATAAATATCAAAGCAACATAGAGCTGTTTGTTCTAGTTCGTATAATGACAATTTAATGTCATGTTTGTTTGTAATGACCCCCCTTTTCGGGATTGCATCAGAATTATAGTTATCTCGTATCGCATGAGGATGACACATGTCAACTGAGCAATTATGTTTGGGACTTAGTTTTAAGAAATGATGTCAAAGTAACATTATGAAAATATTTTTAGTAAGCTGAAATATATATTTATTTTTTACATGTTTATGTCTTGTAAGATATTTTATTTCTGTCCCGTTTTTCAACATTAGCGTCTGGAAAGTTGAAATGTTTTAACTGAATGGTTAATTTAAATTAATTATGAAAATGGTTAAAATTAAATCAATAAAGGAAATTATTGCCCAGTTACAAACACTACCAGGGGATAATCCATAATGATTTTTTTTTCAGTTATATGTTTCAGCACATGTATGATTAACCCAACTTTAGCCTGGTAAACTTGTTGTCTCCTTGTAAAATATAAAACATATTTAAAATGATTTCCTGCTAAAGTCTTATATTGATATAAAGTTAAAACCGTCTTGCTTCTCACTAGTCAACACTCCTGTCCTGTCAGGTTTAATTCTTATATATATGGATGAAAAATAAAAGTCCACAAAACATTAACATGGCAGCAATTGCTTTTACAGCCTTTAAGACTTTGATTTTTTTTTACAGAAGAGTGTCCACCATGCACTTGCATTACACTATAATAATAGTAGAATAGTATGATATACAAATAGATGAAAATTATATATACATGCAACCGTAGTATTAATATAATATATAACAACAAACCAGTGTATTCTCTGGAACTATTATTATATTAGTATAATAGTCTAAGGTATACTGATTTGTATCACTACAATATAATAGTTATTACGGTGAGGTTGAATTTCCTGTCATTTATTCATCCCACGAACTTGTATAAGAAAAAAAAATCTCTGTAAATTAACCTCAGTTTCAGGTATAGAGATGTGATCTGTTTCTGTGACATGTGCTTTTGACCATCCACAAGAACCTGCGGTCATCCGATGTTCAGTACTTCAGTACTTTGATTCCTTTTTCAGTGCTATCCGTATTCTTGTACACCCACTATTCTCTACAGAGAAAATGACAAATTACACTGATAAAAAACCCATAAAAACTTATCCTTAATCTTGATTGTACTGCTTTTTACTCATCTTCGTGATAAAATGAACGAGTTTATATCGTTAACAAATGTATTTGTAATTGAAATTAAGCCCAACAAAGCATCTTTGGAACTGCTGAGCCCCGGTTTTTAGCGCGGTTCTTTAGTTTTCAGTTTTGCTTTCGACTTGTTCTTTCTTGGTATATTTTGCCCTCTCCCTCAAAAAAAAAAAAAAAAAAAAAAAATACCCAATTATGAATAATATAATTTGATCAATGTTTCTTGAAAACGATTTGCAAAAGGTCCACGCGTAAAAAAATGGAATCAGATGCATACGTTTTCAATTTACACAATGTATTTTTTATCTTGTCAAATCATTTACAAAATGAAAACAAAAGTTTATCAGTTTTATGCGTCCGACGCGCTTTTCTGAATTTACATTCATCGGGAACTCGAAAAGCCGAATATTTGAGAGACAAGGATGTATAAGAACCAAAACAGTTGAAGAACTTAGACTATATGACCAAAAGGACCTAAAAATAAATGACGTATTTCCTACTACACTGTGTATGTAATTGTACATAATTTGCACTCTGGACAATTCTTCTAGACTAATAGTTTAATTTTGCTCCCCCTAACAAAAAAAAAAAAAAAAAAACAATTTCAAAAACAAATTTTTTTGAGAAAAATTAAACCTTGCAACATTTGTTTGTCTTCCCAATTGATTTTAATTAGTTATGATATGGCACTTCATTCCTTTCTCTCACTTCTATGTTTATAGAATGTCTGTTATTCGATTTGACGGTTTCCAGAGACAAATAATTTAATAAAACCGCCTTGTTTAAAAGAAGCCAAGACAAAATAATCATCTATTTTGATAAATTAGATCTACTATGCTTTACTATAACGAAGTAGTGGTAAGGTTCATCTATATGAAACAAAAAAGAAAATTTCGTTTGTCGCTTAATTTTGATGAACAAATCATATTAATAAGAAAACTAGGACAAACATCGTTATGATTAACCGATATTCACTTTGTCGCTATTTTTGTAGTAAGGTTCAAGAAGGTTTAAAGAAGAAATCTCGAAGATTTGGGGGGGGGGGGGGGGGGGCGGGGGGGGCTTGGTGGCCGAGTGGTCTAAGTAGTTACTACTGTAATCACTAGCCAGTCAACATTGAGGTTGTGAGTTCGAACCCCGCTCGTGCGAGTGCACTAGACTCCAATCTTAATTGACTAGGATTGTCAGTTTTCCTATCGAAGGTCGGTGGTTTTCTCCGGGCACTCCGGCTTCCTCCACCAAAAAAAACTGGCCGCCACAAAATAGCCCAAAAGCGGTGCTTAAAAGTGGCGTTAAAACACCAAAAATCAAATCAAAAATCAAATCGAAGATTGTGGTGGTGTTTAGGGATGTATTTATTCTGAATAGTAATTTAACAATAGCTTAAAATATTTATTTGCCAAACGTTTACCCTCCAAAAATGAAAGTTTGTTGATAACAAAAACGGTCATCACTTTGTGTGGGCATTAAATGTCTATAATGTGTTCATTTTCTGTCAATTTACTTTTTTTTAAATGTTGAGTTTTTTGAAACACCAAGGTTTTTCTACCCCAGGCATCATGGGTATAGAATGCTTTAATCGTATTTTAAATAACTTTTTTTCAAAGCTCACCAACTTAGTATTTGATTTTACTTTCAACTGTTTGGATTTGAGCTACTAGTATACTGGTGATTCCCATGTAGAGAAAACGCACGTCTGTCGTACCTATAGCTAGTCAACTCGTATTTTGACGAAACTTGATATTTACTTAGAACATGTTCTGAATTTTTGTCTAGTGTCAATCTTTATGTGCACTCGGGTCCTTTTTGACATCGTTATCGAGGGAATTGCAATTCGTGTCCAATTGAAGTTTCAACATTTATGTCGAGTATTCCAATAATGCTTTGGCATAGAATTAGTGTTTAGTCCGTTGCGGGTGCGTTACATGTTTCTTCGCTGAATTGAATAGCGTATATTAAACAATAATACTCCGAATAAACATGCAGAATATTAATCTCAAAGATAAAACTCATGAGTGCACAAGCTGAAATGTCTCGCCTGCTTTTCTGACCATTGATTTAATGCTGAAGGTCTAAAGGATAAAGGTTATACAAATGATTAGCCTGGTATCTTTAATGACTTCTTAATCTAACATTGGGACCTACAACCACATGTGCTATTTATAACGAGAAAATAAACTTCCGTTGGTAATTTACATGTGCTATGTGATACCATGCAGAAAATATATTTCCGGTGGTATTTTTAAACGCGGTGTTACATGTATGAACCAAATAGAAGGGTAAAGGGAACGACTTTGTTTTGTTAAAATTTGTAAATTAGATTTAAAATACTGTAACAGTTTTTCGTTGAGATAGTAGAAGATATATTCACAGGTTTTTTTTAGTATTTGTAACTGATTTACGAGGCACGAAGGTTAAATTATTCGAGCCAAATACGGTACAATTGGAGAGTGGTTATGGAAATCTTTTTTGGTCTTAAAATGCCAGATGATAACATAACTTTGCAGTTTATTTACACGAAGATTCTTCGGATCTCTGATACAAAAATATTAATTCACTAATATACTAGGTAGAACATATAAAATGAATTGCTTGTTGTTTGCTAAACGCCCAGTGGCAAATATTTCATGCACATGGTCAAATGTATTCTTTTTTTGAACAAATAACGTTATCTTGCATTTGGGAACTCAAACACGCGCACATAATAAATTAGGACGTTAAAGAAGAAGAAACAAGTTTATATGAAAAACGTACCAAATGTAATATTACCAGAAGACTATCAATAGTCGTCATGTCCTGTTTATTAGCCAGAAAGTATTCAGCAAATAAAGATTAATAATTTGGACACTTTGTTTTGAATTGCAACATTCTTTTTAATGATGTTGGGCAAAATGTTTTTTCTGATGCAGTTCGTGAACTTTTTAAAATATTTTTCCTTCTTTTATTATGTCATAAGAAATAATAAATCCAAGTATTAGTGATTTAAAAGCTTTCCCGTCATACTATTCTTTAACCCACTTTAAACGTTTAAAAGACTTAGAATAGTTCGTTATAAGTTCAAAAAAAAAAGTAGATTAAACTATGCCTTTCTTCTTTTTTCAAAATGAACTTTCAACAATTTTGATTTGGAGATGAAATGTGAAGGTTAAATAAGACCAATAAAAATCCTTTTGAATTCGAATATCAAATATATTATTAATCTTCCAATTACCAATAACCGAAAATAATCCTTAAGATGTGTTTATGAGACATACGTCTGTCAGATAGAAGTATAAATATATAGAAAATTGTCTTCCATTTTGTTCGTCATGGAGTCAAACTTCTTGTATTTAATACAAAATAGCATCACTGGGGGAAATATCAAAACACTTTGAGTACAATGGGTAAGTTATGTTATTTTTCATATTATAAGTTACATTTTTGCTCGAATGTGTCCAGATTATATCATTCTGCTAATTTATATATAAAATTAACTATCTCGGCTATGGTCTCGTGGTAGCGTGCTCGTCTTGTGGTAGCGTGCTCGCCTCGAGTTCAGAATATCGCGGGTTCCTGATATGCTGTAATATTTGCTAATGAACGTTTTTCACCAATTCATTATCATCAACATATATGCATGTACAATTGTATCATGATTGTTTGTTGATTCTGAAAGAAAAAAATTGAAGAATTTTTACTAGTTTTGCAATTTCAAGAGTCAGATAATAGCTATTACCATACCTTCTCCTTATATCTAAATAAAAATTGCAACGAGTTCAACAGAGAATGTCAGCTCTACCAGACACGTATATTCTCTTACCAGAGACATATACCAGATATATATATGTATATGGCTTTACTGATATAAGATTAACTATTCAAATGAGAACATTCATACAATGGCAAATTTGAGAGAAAATTTTTTTTTTTTATTAAATTATCTGACCGTTTATTAAATGGGATAGAACTAAACTTTGTGTACATTCTTATAGTTTTATGGCGTTTGGTGGTGTAAGTGCAAGAATCTAGAGAAGTGCAGGATACCAGAATGCACGAAGTAAATCATTGATTTTTTTTCTAGCACACCACTTTTCATAAACCCATTGTTAATTCAACATCAAAATACCATAATTGAATGTAATCATGTCTATTAGTACTCAATGTGAACACTAGTAGACCTTTTCAATAACTCTCGACACCGAATAATGACACCTACAGTTTACAGGTAAAATGAAGGGGTCGTCTCAAAACTAAAAATCATTCATGAATAGTATTATTTTTACACCTTCGATTTATCGTTTTACACTATTTTGACGAAAGAACATATTTCAAACAAATATGAACTATATCTCTCTCTTTTGTATAGCATTCTTATTACATGTAGTTTTACGTTGAATTTATTAAACCTTCAAGTAAATAATTACTGCAATCAATTCACATAATCTGCCTTTTTTTCTTCTTAAATTTCATTATTATGTGAGTATTTAGATAAGCGAGTCCGTCAACGCAGATTGTTCCACATGCCAATTGCGATTAATTCGCTTTTGTAATGCTATTTATGAAATTTGCTGAAGCAACATTGTAACAGGACTACCGTCCGTCCGCTAGAGTTGTGTTTCTCAACCGTTCGTCACGTCACTTGTTGTACACATTCAATTTTGGGAGGGGTAAAAGCCTATTTGTTTAAAGGTCAAAGGAAAAGGCCACATCGATAATTTAGTTACGAGAGACTACTCCGCTTTAAGATACCATGTTAAAATTGAGATGTTTCCTACATTAACGGCACCATTTTTTTCTGCGCCACATGCGCATTTTTACAATTAATGTCTCTTCAGTGATGCGTATGGTATTTATATCCCAACAGAGCTTGTTGTCATTGCAGTGTCTTTTTGACAGCGCCGAACTGATTGAGCGTTATAGGTTGTCCGTGTCACGAAAGACGTGAACATACCTTTTTCTCCTGTCGTAGATTCCTTTCCTTTCCTTTCCCTGTTCCTGGAAAATGACCTTCGTGTGTCTTGCAAGAAGCGAGAACTGCTTACCCTTCCCCTTTTCAGGACATAGCTTTGGTCTTCTACTCTTTTCTATTTTTTCCATGCATAAAGGTTTTTAAATTTCATCTCTGACCATACATAGGTGAGATTTAAGATCCCAATTATACTAGTGAAACCCCGCCGCATGTTTTATGCGCCTGAAACAATTCCTAAACAAGTTGGTCATTGCAATTGGTAAGTTTTTGTCACAATAGAATATTTAGTTTACAATTTGATATTTTGACATCATGCTTCGCTGTCATATTTAATTCCTTTTTATTCGATCAAAGATAGTAACTTTGTTTCCTTTTTTTTTTTTTTTTGAGGGGGGGGGGGGGGGTGGGATGGAGATTGGGGTCTTTAACCAAAATGCAGACTATGCGGTAACTGAATGTCTGTTTTATATGTTGCATTGTGTGATTTTTTTTCCTACTGCAGAAGTCATAAAAAATAGCAAGAAAACGAAAAAAAAAAAGCTTACGATTTAAATCTGAATCTGAATCAGAAGAGACACCAAGGGCCTTTAAAAATCTTGGTATCTATTTTGTTATGAGTACCATTGAGACATTGGAAGCCAAAATTAACAGACATTATAGAAACATGTACCGCCCTAGTCAACAGATATAAAACATTGATTAATTAAACATCTACTACAAAAATACAGGTATTTTTTTTTTTTATTTTTTTTTTTTTCATTTTTCAACTCGACGTCTAAAAGAAATGAAACATTGAAGTCCTTCCTTTTCTTCGTAGTTAATTCACAAATAAATTTAGTTTTGATAAACAAATACCTAATAAACAAAATAAGGTACGGTACACAACAATTGCTTATATACACGTCATGTTGGATAGTGGCCTCATTGGCAATCAAAATAATCATATGCGATCAATAATATTTTTAAATTTTATTTTTTGAGACGACCCCTCATATCTCACATGTCGTAGTCGTTCTCAACTGTAGGTATAGACAATTGTTGAAAAGGTCTATTAGTAATTTCTTATGTTCATGATATTAAAAAAATAATCAATTTCTTTTGTTATGAATAACAATGGACTGTGTTTTCGGGATGTAGAAGCAGGGGTTTCCAGAAACCCCGCTCGTCACACCCTGTGGTCAAAATCCATTGTTATTCGTAACAATAGATCTATTCATTTTACACTTGTTTCAGAAATAGAAACTATGAAGTGTAACAATAAAACTGGGGTGTAAAAATCATATATAGACAAGCCTTACTCATTAATATATTTAATCCACTCAAAGCTTCGCATTTCGTGAATTAAATACGTTAATTCGTAAAAGGCGTGCTATATACATAACTTATTATAGTCTTTCGAACATTCAACTCAAGTTTCATGAAAAATATTATAAAACTTTATTTAGAAAATAGTTATAAAATGTCCGTCGGATGGGGACGTTAAATCCGAGGTCCCGTGTTCAGGGAGTACCACGCTCTTTGCACGTTAAAGATCCTTCTCAACAAGCTCTTTTTGAGTGGTCCATAAGTGACCGGTTGTTTGGCAAAATTTTTTCATACTGGTTTTGGCCTTGATATATTTTTCTGTGGTTTATAATTTAACTGTTTGGTAATTTGGTTTTCATGGTCTAACTTTTGTCTAAAATCTGTTAGTATTCATTCTTTGATGAGTTGAGCCTTTTTTCAATTAATGTTTTACATTGTGTCCTTTTATATCGTATTGTTACAACACTGTCTCAGGTTAGGGTGAAGGTTGGCGCCAGATAAAACGTTCAAACCCGCTGCATTTGTTTGCACTTTTCCTAAGTCAGGAACCTGATGTTCAGTGGTTGTCGTTTGTTGATGTGGTTCATAAGTGTTTCTCGTTTCTCGTTTTTTATATAGATTAGACCGTTGGTTTTCCTATTTGAATGGTTTTACACTAGTCATTTTTGGGGCCCTTTATAGCTTGCTGTTCGGTGTGAGCCAAGGCTCCGTGTTGAAGGCCGTACTTTGACCTATAATGGTTTACTTTTACAAATTGTGACATGGATGGAGAGTTGTCTCATTGGCACTCATACCATATCTTCGTATATCTATGTTTAGAATGTGTAATAATATCATTGTCTTTAGTAGACCATTATGCGATTAAGGGTGTTAAAAAAACCTTCAATAAGTCTCACAAATCAGTCAATGTATTCGTTACCATTAAACTATAATATATAGACTTTCGAATATTCAACTCAAGTTTCGTGAAAAATATGATAGAACTTTGTTTATGAAATATAACAGGAAAAACTATCAGCAAAATAAATACGAGCAAGTATGATAGATCGATTATTATTTTTTCTTAATACGGGAAGGGATTGAATTATTCGGGTTGTCGAGGAGGCAAAAATATAACTTGACACCAGATTGTTTCATACGTTCAAGTATAAAATCACATGATGTAAATCGTTTATAAGATATAAGGCTTATGTTCAAATAGCACAACATAACTTTACGTATCGAGTTTAATATTCTTAAGTAATAGCGTTCTTCTTTGAAATTTCTGAAAACTTATAAATGCAATTCATGTTATATTATTCCCACTTGAAGTAAAGGATTGCACCTAGAAATCAATCAAGTTTTCTTATGGATGAAAAATTAATCATTTTATGGAAGCGTTATCCTGCACTAAAGAAAGAGATATGGACGGGTTTTCCTGTACTTAATTCACAAACTCAGTCAACATCAGAAAGAGTTTGAAAGAGGTAGGGACAACTCGAATTGTTTTCACTTACATGTAAAAGTTATTTTATTCAATTATTGAAACGTATACATTATTTATCTCGAATTTGTTTCAATAATTTTAAATATTTTCATTAAGTCAAAATTTTAATCAACACTACATTAAAGCTTTGAAACTAACCGTTCTGTTCATTTGATGTCATTATTTAACAATAAAGAACAAAACTATCCCTTAGATCATTCACAAAGTTGACAAATGACATTTCAGATATTTTGAGAGAAAAACAATTGCGGATCAAAGACTTGAATTAATCACTCCGTATGTATTTTTTAAAACATTAACTGTTGAAAAAAAAACAATTTTCAATGCAAAATTTATCATTTTTGTTTCCATATTTTTAAGGTTCAAATAATATTGTTATAATGGTCTTGTTTCAACACCTTAAGACACTTCTTGATAGTTTTAATAGCTTTGAAATATGCATTGATGTATTTTTTTCGGAAATCACTTGGCTATTGACTTGAAAATGAAATCTCCAACTTGGTAAAACATCTTCCTATTTCGGAATTTTAAAACATTTTGTGTTCTTATGATGTGATTTTACACAACTATCCAAGGTTGGGGAGCGTTGATCGTTCGCAAACATTTCTAATCCTACAACATTCTGTATGTGCCTGTCCCAAGTC